AGCTTAGAGGTTACCCATTCCTTTTTCATGTGTGGCTAGAGCATCTTGAATATCATCACTCTCATCACCCTCATCACCATTGCTCCCATACACCTACAAGAGACATTTAAGTAGATTTTGGTATCCAAATTGCTTTGGATCCTTGGACGTTAGTTTCAATGCCCCTTGTTCCTTTCGGAACCCATACTATCCTAATTTTAAAATGTTTTCCTTTCTTCAAATGACAAGTATGTTCCAAATGACCATGATAATGACAATGTGAGCATATTGTCATTATTGAACTAAATGAATTATTTAAAATGATTTCTTTTTCTTTTGTTAAGCATTCAAGCTTAACTTTTAAATCAAAATTTTGTTTTTCAAAACTCTTATTTTTTAAAGCTCTAAATCCTTTTTCAAAATTTTATTTTGGCTTTCAAAATCTATTTTTGTTTTCAAAAGAAAATCGTTTTCAATTTTAAATTTTGAAATCATTTTCTTATATTTGGAGTTCATGGTCTCAAACTCCGAATATAACCTATTAAAAGCATCTTGTAACTCATCAAACGTATATGAATTAAATTCATTTGAGTTAGAAGATACCTCGGGCTCTTCATAAGCCATTAAACACACCACCTTTGTTGGTTCTTCTTTCTTGTTTCCATGGATTTCCTCGAGCTTATTCTAAAGCTCCTTGTCACTTGAACATGAAGAAAACCCTTCATAAATTTCAGGACCAAATGCACAAAACAACATGTGCATGGCCTTGGCATTAAGTTGAGCTTTCTTCTGTTCTTTGTCACTCCGCTTCTTCTCCTTCTTCTTTGGAGAAGAGTAGTCATTCTCAATTATCTCCCATACATCAAGATCATTGGATTGGATGAATACCTTCATTAATTTCTTCCAATGATGATAGCTGACTCCCATTGAAGTATGGAGGTTTGTCGGTTGGTAGGGAGTCTTCCATGTGGAACGAGCCGGAGATGGAAACCATTTTCTCGGTTGTGTAGGGAATTGGTAGAGCTTCTTCTAGGATCGTCTCAAGGTGGTTAAACCTTCTTAATGAGTTAGGCTCCGATGCCAATTGTTAGGATTTTCGGAAGCTCGAATCGACAACCGGAATGGTTTGCAAAGAGGGGTCGGAACGGTTTTGTGTTTAGGGAGTAAGGAGATTGAAAGATAGAGAATTGCACAGTGATTTATAGTGGTTCGATTTTCTCAATCAAAGTCTACATCCACTACCTTAGCTCCTCACCAAGGATTTTCCAACAAATTCACTAATTTGTTCTTTCTTTTGAGGATAAAGAGTAACCTTACAAACTCCCTAGTTTTTCCGGGCTAAACTAGAACCTTTTCCTAGCTTTTACGCGGGATTAGCTAGAACCTTTCCCCTTTACAAAAGGATAAGAAATGTAAACAAGAAAACCTCTCTAAGGTAGGTGTTTACAAGATTGAGCTCACAAGAACAAAATATTTACAAGAGAAATATGAAATAAGATTGAAAAACTCTTCTCTTGTGTTTGATTGCTTGGATAGTTATTCTCTTGCTTCTTCAAGTGTCCTTAGCTTGTATTTATAGCTTGGAATGTGTTTGAAGTCGTATATAGTCGTTGGGGATGTTTTGGAGCCGTTTGGGGATGAGAAACAATTAATAAAATAGCATGGAGCGTGGGGGAAATCGGTACCCCCTTATGGGGAATCAGTTCCTTAATTGCAATCTGTTTTTGACCGTTAGACAGGGGGAATCGGTACCCCCTGGGGGGGAATCAGTACCGCCTGGATAATCTGATTTTTCTTGAAACCCTTTAAAAAGAAAGTATTTTTGGCTCGATTAAGGCTCGAAATACTTTGTAAAATTGTTTTAAAATAGTTTAAGTATAAAACACAATTTTACACTTTAGTAAGGATTAAAATGAACTTTGAAAGACTTGGAGTAATATTTTGATATTCGAATAATTATATCGAATATACTTAGAAAATCATTTGCAAAATCTTAAAATTCATTTGTTATATCGAAACATCAAAATATTTTCAACAAAAAGGATGATTGAGCCTGCACTGGTTCTTTTCGTCTTGAGTGAACCAGCTAAGGATGAGTAGTGTCTTGAATTTTTGACTGATAAGTAATAGGGTCAGGTTGTAAGGTGGTGGTTGGTCAAAAATAGAAGGATGTTGGGAAGAAATAGAAGGCTTTTGGGAAGAAACAAAAGCAGGCTACTGCTACTCAGAAAAGTCAATGAGAGGCTGAAGAAGGAAATAATCTCTGTCTTTATCTTCCCTGAAGAAAATCTCCCCTGAAGGAAATCTCCCCCTGAAGATAGGGACGAGTAAATTAATTTTCCTTTTCTGAAAAAATGACATCAACTAAAATAAAATGTCTCCTTATAGGTGGATGATAGTACTTGTACCCCTTTTGAGTGGAAGATTAGCCAATAAAAACACACTTTAATGCCCTTGGATCAAGCTTCCCCTCATTTTGAGAGTGTATATGAACAAATGCAACACAACCAAATATTTTAGGTTTAACGTTAAGTGAGGGGCTGAAGTTTGGAAAGAAATTGTTTAGGATTTGGATAGGACTTTAGTGGGTAGTTTGTTTATCATATAAGTGGAAGTCAACACAACTTCTCCCCAATACCATTTAGGTACAATTTTTTTTAAACAAGAGGGCTCTTGTAATGGCAAGAAGATGGTCATTTTTTCTTTCTGCTACTCCGTTCTTTTGGGGTATTTACACACGATGACTCATGAATAATGTCTTTTTCTTGAAAATAGAGAGATAAGACTTTGTTGAAATAGTCCTTAGCATTGTCTGATCTAAACCTCTTTATTTATGCCATAAACTGAGTTTTAATCATAGTATAAAAGGTTTTAAAAGTGGAATTCACATCTGATTTTTGGTTTAGAAGAAATAACCATGTCACTCGGGTACAATCATCTATGAATAAGACAAACCACCAGGATCCACTTATATTATGAATCGTGGATGACCCCAAACATTGTTGTGTATAAGGGTAAAGGGGTTTGAAGTTCTTTTATTACTAACTAGGAAAGAAGAGTGTTTATGCTTTTAGCAAGTTCACATATATCACAATGGAATTCCTCACTATTTAAGGATTTGAACAAAGAAGGAAACATAAGCTTTAAAGTTGTAAAGGATGGGTGACGAAGACGGAGAGGGTGAAGCCATATCTGATTATTTGTAAAGTTGTCAAAAAAGATGGGGAATTCAGGGCACTGATTTGACCACCAGGGTCTTCAAGGTAATATAGACTATTTTCTTCTATAACACGTCCAATTATCATCTTCGTTCCTTGTTCTTGAAAAATACATTGGGTAGAATGAAAAAAAACACTACAGTTAGTGTCTTTGATTATTTTTTGAATGGATAAGAGGTTAGTAAATAGATTTGGTACATGAATGACATTTTTTAAAGTGAGGGTTTCACTTATAACAATATCCCCTTGACCAACCACTGTTATCATAGTGATATCTGCCATAATTATTTTTTTGTTGCTAGGATAAGGTGTATAGGTTGTAAATCTGAGTGAGGAATTGGTCATGTGGTCTGTAGCCTCTTAGTCAATTACCCAAGAGCTTTAGATGGGTAAATCCAAGGCCTTAGAGTGTTGAGAAGATGATGATATACCTAAAAAGACCATATTGTACTTGCAGAGGAGTTTTTGTCCAGGGAGCCCAGCAAATTTCTCAGTTTCTCTATTTCCTCTTTGTTGAACTCCACAGGCTGTTCTTGAGAGCCCTCAACCAATTTTTAGTTTTATATGCTCCTCCTTGACCCCTTGATGGTCCCTATTTTTCTGGAAAATTTTTACCTACTGTCTGTGGCTTTCCATGAAGTTTCCAGCACTTCTCCTTTATGTGGCGAGGTTTCTTGCAGTAGGTACACAATAGAGAGTCTCTGTTTACTACTTTTGATGTCTTTTTTGTATGTTGTTGTTCCATACTCGTTTTTCTCTCAACTAGAACTTTAGTGATCAGGGCTGAACTCTCCTCTTGATTGCTTTCAATCATAACTCATCCCCTTCCTTCCTCAGCTCAAATGATTACAATAGTCTCATTCAATGATGGCAGTCCTTTTCCAAGAATCTGTACCCTTACTGCATCCAACTTAATATTTAGTCCAGCAAGAAAATCATTCTTTCTTTTTCAACAAACCTCTTTAGGGCAGCTGCATCTTCGCTACACTTTATCTGAATACAGTGGTAATGGTCTATTTCTTGCCAAAGATTCTGCAGTAGGTTAGAATATTATGTGATTGACTTGCTTCCCTATTTGGTGGATGAAATCTTGGTCTTGATTTCATAAATCTGGGCAGCATCTTTAACCTTTGAATACATTTGTTTTACAGCCTCCTATATCTCTTGGGCTATATTGTATCGCTAATCTCTGGCACCATGGAATTCCATAACCAGGACATTACTAATGAATCTTGTTCATCCCAAGATTCAAACCTAGGATCAAGCTGGTATAGGTTGATCTAGAGGTTATGTGTTGTGGGTCTGAAGGTGTATTGTTTAGTTTGCGTTTTTAAGGGTATTATGGTTTTAGTGTTGCAGTATGTGCTATGTTTTTAAGTGTTATGTTGTAAGCAGTCTGTGGTTAGGGATTGATTGTATGTTATGATTCAGATTAATAAAATTCAGAGACACTCTTTTCCTCCTTTCTATGTCCTTCATGTTACTAATATAACATGTAGGATATGAAGTGATTTTTAATGATACTTATCTTCTATAAAAAAAAATCCAGTGGGCCCAGATTTTGAGATAAAGAAACCTATATTTGTGTATGTAATTTCTTTCTTTCTTAACCCCCCCCCCCCAAAAAAAAAGGTTTATGTCACAGAAGAAAAGGAGTTAATCATGGAAACATTAATAAAATGGGCTGCAAGTCCAGGTTGTTATTTTGTAATAAACGGGAATGGTGTTTGAAAGTTAACTGCTTGTGTTAAGAGAGGAGCGAGTATTTTGTCTGTTAATCATGTGTTTCTTGGATAATTTCAGGTTGTGGATTTGCAAAGTGTTTGCCCTACCACGAATTACCTTAAAGCCTTTGGTTCCAAGCTTCCCTTGTTTTGCAAATATCTTTGTGTCCTTGATGGAGAAGGTTTGAGTCATGGTCATGGATGAATTAAATTCTGTTTCTATTGTTTAGATCTTTGATGCATCTGTGTTTTCATTTGACAAAGTATTTGTAACTGCAAATTCTTTGCACATGCCTGATTTGCCCTTTAATGGGTGTAATTAGTCGGTTTAAGTAAATTAATGTGACAGTAATTTTAACTTTTTGATGAATCATGATTAATTTTCTTTTCTCTTTATCATTCGTCTTCTTATCTGCAGCCCTATGTTGACTTTGGATTGAAGCTTATAGGGGCTGATCTCATGTCCATACCAGGTCTTTACAGGTTTGTCCAGGTAAAAAATGTCATATGATGTTCCTTCTTAATTCTATTTTCCTAGTTTCTTACCCAAATACCTGGTTTTATTATATGTTTGAAAATGCGTTTCTTTTACCAAAAGTACAATCTGTTTGAGGCATCGTTTTCGTTTCTCTTTAGATGCACAATTTTTAGTATGGAAGTTGGCAGGCCTCAAGGATGACATCATATTTCATAGAGATAGGCAAACTTCTTACCAACGCCTTAGCTGGCATTATCTATATGATTTTATAGTTTATTGCTTTGAATTTTAAAAAAGATGCATGTGATGCAGGAGCTCATCAAAGATCAGGTTGCAAACATCTATCTTTGGCCTAAAACCCTGCAAGTTCCAGTTCTGGATCCATCAAAGTATGTTTCAAGGATGCTCTCATATTCTACTATGCCTTAATTCAGTCTTTTGTTTCTCTCTCTCTCTTCTTTGATCTTGGCCTATAAATCCATTTGAACTTGCAGAGCTTTTAAGAGGCCTGTAGGAATTCTCCATGTGAAAGTTGTAAGGGCAATGAAGCTAAAGAAAAAGGATCTTTTGGGTGCATCAGACCCTTATGTTAAACTGAGGCTAACTGAGGATAAGCTTACATCTAAGAAAACCACTGTGAAGCATAAGAACTTGAACCCTGAATGGAATGAGGAATATGATATGATTGTCAAAGATCCTGATACCCAGGCCTTGGAACTTCATGTTTATGACTGGGAGCAGGTAAGATTTACAATTTTTTCCTTTCAATTTTTTTGGAGTCTTATCAGTTGTCGCTATTGTTACCTTAACTGTTTCTTCCTGTTCTCAGGTTGGGGAAGCATGACAAGATGGGAATGAATGTGGTTCCTTTGAAAGAACTTACTCCTGAGGAGCCCAAACTTACGACCCTTGATCTTGTTAAAAATATGGACTTAAATGATGCTCAAAATGAGAAGTTGCGTGGGCAGATTGCGGTGGAACCAACATATAAGCCCTTCAAAGAAGATGAAATACCAAAATCTTTTGATGAGTCAAAAACACTGCAGAAGCCTCCTGATACTACACGTGATGGTGGAGGTGTGCTTGTGGTCATTGTCCACGAGGCGCAAGATGTTGAAGGAAAGCACCACACGAATCCATATGTGCCTGTTCTCTTTAGAGGCGATAAGAAAAAGACTAAGGTATGTTATGAGAGTAGCATTTAAAATAACCTTTTAAGAAATCGATGCAAAGTTCAGAGCTCTTTTAAAAGGATTTCCTTACCTATAAAACATTATGGGAAATTGTTTTAACCTTCACTCTAATTTTAAATATCCATTATTTTGTTCGACATTCATCTGATCTTGCAAGTTTCTGTGGGGATGCTCACTGATTTCTTGCTAATTACTTCTATTGTTTTATAATTATTTTTATTTTGAAAAAGATCAAAGATGGTGGGTAATCTTTGACAGATGATCAATTCATGTTTTCTTCAGAGGTCGAACAATGATACTGAAACTGTAAAAAAAAAAAAGCTCTTGAATTTTTTTTCACACTTTGTATTTACTATAAATGATGTGTCTTTTGAATTTTATTGGTACAGCATGTAATGAAAAACAGAGATCCAAGATGGGAAGAGGAGTTCTCGTTTGTACTGGACGAACCTCCTGTTAATGACAAATTGTACGTGGAAGTTCGCAGCAGTTCGTCAAAGATTGGCTTGCTGCATCCAAAGGTACTCTTTTTGAGCCATTGCTTGCACGAGTTATAGCAACAATTTATTGTTGCGAAATTGCAGTTAGGGCGTTCTATAGGCACAATTACGTAACAAAATGTTGTCCGGAGATTGGTTTGAGTGTCAATATTTGCATTGAGACCTGGATATAGATTTGGAAGTCTATATCGATTCTAGATTATAAAAAATGTCATTCTTTTTCGTCTTTGAACTTTGAAACAACAACAACAACAACAACAACAAAACCCAATTCCCATATGTATGGGGTAAGGGGGAGGTAGGGTAGTAGGCTACCCCCAACGCCAGGTTGAGAGTAACTTCCGTGGAAGACCTCCGGCAGTCAGAAAATTAAAAATTTAGATAAAATGCAATGCATGTATAAATAAATACATAAATACATAGCTAAACAGTATTCATATGCAGTCATTAAAATCATATGTGCGTCTGTAACGGGAATTAATCCCTGCATAATTATCCCTGCGAAAGAATCTCTGCATATAGACATAAGCATAAGATAAGATCCGGCTAAATTTAAAAGAGGAAACATGAAGAGAATGATACACAGAAGTAAACGTTAGCAAGCCCAGTTCTAATCCTTCATAAATACCAATAACAGAAACATATAAAAAGTATAAGTCATGGAAAATACTACAAAGACATTAAAAGAAGACAGAGGTGATACACCTATAGATGTGACCCACACTACTCGACTACCTAGTCTTTAGCCTCCATATTTCCTATCAGAGGTCATGTCTTCGGTAAGGGCTAAATCCCTCAAATCAGATCTCAAGCAGTCTTCCCACTTTCGCCTTGGTCGTCCTTTCCTTCTGGCACCGTCGACTGTATCGACTCTACCTCCTTACCGCATCCGACGGTAGTCGCCTAAGGACATGCCCAAACCACCGTAGTCTCTCCCTCAATTTTTCGGAAACAGACACACCCCAAGGACATCCTATAGCAGAGTTGTCGTCATATCCTCAGAGTCTTACCACATGTCCATCGAAGCATTCTCATTTCTGCGGCCTCAATCTTACGTGATCCTTCTTGGTTGCCCAACATTCTGATCCATAAAACAGCGCTGGTCTTATTGCCATTCTATAAAATTTTCCCTTAAGTTTAGAGGGACTTTGTCACACAGAACTCCAGTAGCGGCCCTCACTTTAGCCATCCGCCTTTATACGGTGTGTAACGTCATCATCTACACCCCCATCTTATGTATCATAGACCCTAGGTACTTGAAAAATCTTTGAGGGGAGAAACGTTGTCCTTCTATGCATACTTCTACATCTTCATCGTTTTGGTTCCCATTGAAGTTGAACATAAATACTCTGTCTTTCAATATTGATCCTTAAACCTTTTTCTTCCAAAGCAGTCTTCCAGGTAGCCAGTCTACTATTCAACTCAGATTTTGTTTCAGAACTAAGACAATGTCGTCAGCGAAAAGCATACACCATGGTACACGTTGGTGTCGCACAATAGATGTCGTCCATGATCAAGGCGAAGATGTAAGGGCTAAGAGCCGACCCCTGGTGGAGTCCGATTTCCACCGGGAATGCCTCGGTGTCGCCAACTGTAGTCTGACGTAAGTAGTAGATCTACAGTACATATCACGAATCGCCCGGATATAAGCAGTTGGGATACGTCTCGTTTCCAAAGTCTTCCAGATCGTATCGCGGGGGACACTTCATAAGCCTTCTCAAGGTCAATGAAACGCCATGTGAAGATCTCTAGATTTCCCTAATTTCTCCATAAGCCGTCGAAGTAGATGAATCGCCTCCGTGGTAGACCTGCTGGCATAAAGCCAAATTGGTTTTCCGAAACCCTAGTAACTTGTCAACCTAGCCTCTATCACCCTTTCCATAGCTTTCATGGTATGGCTGAGGAGTTTAATACCTCTGTAGTTACCACAACGTTGGGGATCTCCTTTATTTTTATAGATTGGTATCACCGTAGACTCTCTCCACTCATCTGGCTCTTGGCGTCTCTAAATATTAAAGATTGGTCAACCACTTAACTCCCTCTTCTCCTAGGGCCAACCACACAGTGATAGGAATTTGATCAGGACCGACAGCTTTGTCCTTCCATCTTTCTAAGAGCCATTTTGACTTCCTCAACCCAAATCCTACTTGTAGGGCAGTCATTGGCCGTAGTATGATGGTCGGCTAACCCATCAACGATACTATCTCTACATGGAGAGGCACCGTCATTAAATAAGCTAAAGAAGTAACTACCCAACCCTTTAATATCGTGATCTTTCGCTAAAAGAACACCATTGTTGTCCTTAATAAACTAATGTTACATATATCCTTTTCCTAATCCCTAGATTTTGCAGTCTGAAGATGCCCTTTGTCCTTCCTTGGTGTCTAATCTCTTGTACATTTCTCGTATGCCTTATCCTTTGCTTTAGCTACCGTTTTCTTGGCTTCCCGCTTTGCCTCCTGGTATCTTTGTTTAGCTCTCGACCTTTCTTCGTCGTCATTGCATTGTAGAAACTCCTTGAAGAATTTCTAGTTTGATATTATACACATGCATGTGCACACAAGCTCGCGCGTATAGGTGTATCTGTTGCTACTGTTTTTGTTAGCATTTGCAGGTTGGTTTTCCAGGTTTTGCGATTACGAGATCATCTTTTTTATTGAAACAGGAAACATTGGGTTATATTGGTATAAATCTTTCTGACGTCGTTAGCAACAAAAGAGTCAATGAGAGGTACCATCTGATAGACTCGAAGAATGGACGGATCCAGATCGAGCTGCAATGGAGAACTAAATGAACTTCGAGAGGAGAAAACCCATTTGTTGAAGTCTTAGATCTGCAATTGAGGTTATACTTCATTGTTGAAGTCTTGGATCTGTATTTGAGGCTATACTTCATTGTTGAATTCTTGGATCTGCAATTGAGGTTATACTTCATTGTTGAAGTCTTGGATCTGTGTTTGAGGTTATACTTCATTGTTGTTCGTTTTCTGTAAATGTATGTAACAATAATAATATTACTGGTGATGGCATTGAAGTTGGAAGAGTGGACGGACAATCCTTTGCTTTTACTTTTAAAAGATACTCACCTGAAGATCATTACAGCACGGGTTATATAGATTGTAAAATTTTGTTGTTTGCTTAACAAAAGGAATTTCATTTTAATCATATTAATAAATGACTAGTTTTGTAAGAAAATTTGAACAAAATGAAACAGGTTGGCTGAACAAAAAGCTAAAATTTTAAATTCTCTCAATAATATATATATTGTATGAAATGTTAGTTGAATAAAGAAGTAGAAAATTGGTAATATCACTTTTCAAACAATATTCTCTTAATATAATATTACTATCGATAATATTTTAGATTTTTCTGATGACAAGATGTAAGCGTACTTGAAGTTCTCAAACCAAAAGAAAATTACAATGCAGCTTGCAAAGGAGTAATATAATTAAGAACTCTTGTAGGCATTCGATTTATCAAATAAGACTGTTAAGAGTGCTTCATTCCAAAAACGATTAGGACATTCATAGCAAACAGTAAAGCCCTAGTCACCTCTAATAATGCCTATTTTTCTTTCAGCAACTCCATTGGTTGGGGAGTATCAACGCAAGAACTGTGATGAATAATTCCTTTTTGTTTCAAAAAATCACCTAAGATTGCATTAAAAATTCGACCATTATCGGTTCTAAGAACTTGATATTTGCTTGAAACTGAGTATTGATCAGTGAGTGAAAATTTTTGAAAACACTTGCTTGCCTCGGATTTTTGTTTTAGTAAATAAATCCACGTGACTCTAGTGTGATCATCAATGAATGTGATGAACCATCTAGATCCTGAGGCTGTTTTTACTCGTGAAGGGCCCCAAATATCACTATGCACAAGAGAAAAAGGTTTGATGGCATATACTTTAAAGATGGATAAACAATCTATGATGTTTTGCCAATTCACAAGCTTCACACTGAAAAGAAAAACCGTCCCTTTTTTTGAAAAGATTTGGAAACAAATATTTCAAATAATTAAAACTAGGATGGCCTAACCTATAATGCCACAACATTATTCATTCTCACAAGACAAGGTAGTAAGCATCTCGTTTCTGAACTTGTTTATTTGAAGGATTGTCCGTGACCAAGTGATAAAGTCCATCACCTCCTTAGCATTGCCAATCATCTTCCCCGAACAAGGGTCCTGAAATTCAAATCCAGCAAATGTTTATTGTAGCAATGCATTTGCAATCATAATACGATTAACAGAGATCAGATTGCAAGAGCTTTGGGACATGTAGGACATTTAGTAATGTGAGAGATGGAGAAATAATGATAGAGCCTTTTCCAGCTATAGAGGTTAGGGAGCCATCAGCAATTTTTACCTTCAGATTACCAATAAAGGAAAATAAGATGAGAATATGGAGGAATTACCGGTCATGTGATCTGTTGCCCCTGAATCTATGATCCAAGGGTTTGATTTAGAACCGGCTATGAAAGCTGTAGGATATGTACCTTTCTGGGCTAATGATGAAGAGGCATATAAGATGATGGGTTAGGAGTGTTGGATATGGAATGAGAACTCATTAGTTGATACAATTGCTCTAGCTGTTCTTTGCTGAAGGCAGACAGTTCTGAGGCAGGTTTCGGCTCTTCAGAAGCATCTTCAGATGAGGCATGGAATCCCTTTGCATTACGAGAATTTCGATTGGCTGAAAAATTCTCGGCTGGCTTCCCTGTAGCTTCCAACACTTGGCTTTAGTGTGTCCCGGCTTGTTGCAGTGCTCGCAGATTGGCCGATCTCTGTCGTTCCGACGATCGTTGCGACGGGTGGCTGACCCGAGAACAAGGCAGAAGACTCGGTGGGTTTGGTGAGTGGCCTCCAAGCATGACTGTCCGGCTCTCCTCTCGTCTGACTTCGGAGAAGACTTTCTTGTGCTTGGTAGTGGTTCACGACCAAGGATGCGCCCTCTGACTTCATCCAATTCCTTGTTAAGGCCGACAAGGAATTCGAAGACGCGTTTTTCCACCATCTTCTGGAATAGAGCCCTGTCCTTAGCACAACTCCATTCATAGGCTGAACATGTCACCTCTTGCCACAAGGTCTTGAGTTCAGTGTAGTATTGAGTGACAGTTTTTTCTCCTTGTTTTAGCCTCCATAATCGAGTTTTTAGTTCAAACCATTGTCCTGCGTTCCCGAGATCAGAATAGGTCTCGTTCACAGCATTCCAAATGTCATGAGCAGTAGGTAGGAAGAGATAAGTTCTCCCTACACTCGGATCCATGGAATTTATGAGGCAAGACATAATCATCGAGTTTTCTGCCTCCCATCTTTCAGATTCTTCATCTTCTTCGGCAGGTTTCGTAGTGATACCTGAGAGATAGCCGAATTTTCCACGGCCACGAATAAACAGTTTCACAGATTGTGACCACTGTAAGAAATTATTTCCATTCAACTTGTGAGAAGTGATGGATATGTTTTGGAAGGATTCAGTGTTTAGGGTGATTGAAGGTGAGCGAGTAGAACTCATAGAGTCGATACCAGAGGTATCATCGTAGAATTTGGCCATTTTGGCTCTGATACCATAAAGAAAGAAAAAAAAACTTGTTCAGAATAAATTGTGTTTATTTCTGCTAAATATGGCTGACTTAAATAGAGTTTACAATGTAACAACTTTACATAAAAAGATGCATAAAATTAGCAACATAATAAAAATGATTCTATCTAATTAAAAATGATCCTATCTAATAACTAATAGAATAAAAAACTGATTCTATCTAATTAAAAATGATCCTATCTAATAACTAATAGAATAAAAACTGATTCTATCTAATTAAAACGGATCCTATCTAATATTTAATTTAGATATTCTCGACACAACCTATGTATTTATATACTACTACAGCCAATATAAACTAGGAAACTATCAAGAAACTTCCTTCTCCTAAAGTTTGTCATAAAATGAAGCACACGATCAGGCTTAAGATTGAAGTCCTGAAATCTCTACAATTAATACAATTTCCTGAATTACATTTTACTAATCTCTGCAATAACTTGTATCTTCCACAAGGATGCATCGTAAGAATGGACAGTTTGCATCATTCAAGGAGTCCAATTCAGCTGATGGAAGCTGTGATCAAAGTGATGACACCCCTGAATATGTGTAAGTTTGAAGGGGCTTATTTGTTTCTTTCTTGTTGATGTTAATTGTATTAAAGGTGTTTTTCTTCTCTTGTTTTGTTTCTTAGAAGTTTTCATAGTTGTCAACACTGTGGGATCAGTGAGAAGTTAACTCCAGCAATGCGTAGGGGGCCAGCTGGTCCTAGAACACTTTGCAATGCTTGTGGCCTTATGTGGGCAAACAAGGTTGGTCTGTCGGAAGTGTTCTTTTACTTAAATTTGCTTTTGTTGACTTTTTATGCAGGCTGAAGACATTCAAACTTAATTTAGTTTTGTTACGAAGTTTACTATATTTCATCAGATTTTGTTAGTTTTTGGGTCGTGTTCTTTTGTAGCACTGTAGGTACAAACTTTGACGATTCTTACATGAGATAACCTTCTATAATTCATTTACCAGATTTTGAAGTATTTGGGGATTGATTTTCCTTTCTATTGAGAAGAGTTAACTTATTGCCTAGAATGCAGTGGCCATGCCCTCCTCTTATCATTTCTTATTGAATCTCTTTAGCATGGTAACCCCGTTCTGCAATCAACCTGGTTGTTCCCTGATAGTATCCATAATAATAATTCTTTTCTTTATTTGCAATTTACCATATTGTTTCTTTTTCTTTTAATTTCAAGGGAACACTGAGAGTTCTTAGAAAAGGAGGGAGGAATACTCACTTTGATTCAAATGAGCCGGTATGTATATGGAGATCTGACGTGTTCATTACCGTAGGATTATATTCTCCACTTAATTTAGCACTCTCATTTTCAGTTGCTATTATTGTTTTCCTTGTGAACAGAGTTAACATTTTATTCAGCTCAATATTTTATTTTTACCTCTCAGAAAGCTCAATCTGATCTTAAGCCTTCAAAGATGGAACCAGAAAATTCTTTTGCCAACAATGATGAGAAGGTATTGATTGATTTCCCTGTGTCACTTGAGGTAAATATGCGTGTAACATGATACTTTGCAAGTTCAAATTTCATTGATGTGCTAAGTGCTATGTGTTTCATTTTAGCTAGGTTTTGGTTTTAGTTGGTTTTCCTATCTAATTTACCTTTGTTTCAAAAAAGGAAGTAATGTTAGCTGTGAAACACAGAACACCAATGCTTCATCCTGTCATATGATTTCTTTACATTCTGTTTCCTATCATCAGGGTAGCTCAGAAGAGTCCAAGCCTGCACCTTTGGATTCTGAAAATCATTTGATAAGATCAAACGAACAGGTGAGATTCTATTGACGGGTGGGAGGGGTTCATCTTGTGATTTTTCCCACTATATGGAAGATTCTAAGATGTAACATTTCAAACTTGATGCACCAAGAGTTTTGTTGTCTGGTTTAAAGTGAACTCGATATACTCCATTCCAGCAAAGATGTGGCCTTGTTAGAGTCTTGCCACTTATAGATGCATAAGCTATATAAAAGAATTGTGCTCCAATTTTTATTTTTTTTTACTTTTAGTATTTTGTTGTCTTGTCGTTATATGAGTTCAATGGCTAGAATTATCAGTTTGTAAGTGATTGCATTCTGTTGATTTACCAAATATTGCCCACCGATGTGCAGGAATTTGCACAAAGTTCTCATCCTTTTCTCATCCAGGTGGAGAATTCCTCGGTCAACCTAGATGATGAGGTATGGGACTTGTCACAAACAATTTCTTTTGTTTTTTTTTTGTCCGATACAAGCAAATTTCCTTTTAATGGGTTAGACTTCGATAAACTCGTAATGGACTTTCTAAGTTCGTTTACATGGGCATTAGGACATGCAGGAAACACTGGAAGAGCTTGCCAATGCTTCCGGGTCGGATTTTGAGATTCCTTCACATTTTGACGAGCAGGCAAGTGTTTTCTTTAGCAGACCTGGCATCAACCATGTAGGAAAAGTAGCCATATAAGCCAAAAATGTTACTTCCTGCAATTCCTGAAATACAAACTCTATTTCAGGTTGACATCGATGATATCGGGACCGTGTGGCCTGGGACTTGAGATCTTTTCCGATCCTCTGAGGTGGAGGTTTACTTTCGCTGACATGTTTTGAGCAAGGCAAAAGCCGCTATCAACTTAACTATAGGTTTCCGGAGATTTGATATATATATATATATATATATATAGTCACAGGATCAGGATCAGGATCAGGATCATCCCCTTTGTATGCGAGTGCTAAACTTAACAGCCCCTTTTGTTTTGTTGTAATTGTAATGTGAATAATATATAACTGTCCCTTATTTCCCCTACATATGAAAATCGCGTTTATAAAGAGTGTGGCTCTTTTATCACATTATGGTTATCTATTTTCAAGTAAATTAACCACCAATCACTAAATTAAGGTTCCGTTCTATTTTGGTCATCAAAGTAAATTTTTTTATCTAATTACTAAATAAACAAATTAATATAAATTTTACGAATTTGATCTTAAGTTTAAATAGATCAATAAATCTTATTCTCTAGACCTATACAATCTTATCAATATTAAAAAAATTTGTTACCCATATTAAATATTTAATAATCTTAAACGTGTTAGACCGATGCCAATATATTTGCATCAATTAATATAACACTTGAATATTTTGAACTATTTTTTTAAAATTGTTTAATATTGCCCTTAACCATTTCTTGTCTATATAATAATAATATAATCATGAAATTGAAATTTTGATGTTTGAAAACGATACACTATTGAAGACCTGCATATACCACTTGGCCATTGTGCACCGACCTACAACTTTGTACTCAAAACTACAAAATATTCTAAGCACTGAAATAACAGTGACGGTTATCAATAAGTTTTTATCTGCAAATGAATTCTTTTTATATAACAATCAATGTTCAACTTGCCGATTCAATCAAATTTATTATGGACTCTCTATTCAGATCACCAAGAGGTTTGAAGTCTTATCCCAGCAAATAAGATGATAGTTATTTTTTCCCCTCCAAATTATAACAAGACAAAATAGCAATTACATATTTCTTCCCAGAAATACTGAAGATGAGTGCATTCAAATATCACATCAAAGAAACAAAATTGGATACGAACACCATAATAAGAGAGAATGTAAAACTATCAACAAATACGGGGGCAATAAGAGAATGTAAAAAGGAAGGGCAATGAAAAACTATATTGGCAAAATGAAAGCATTGTTTTTTTCACTCACATTATTGTTTCGGGAGCAATAAATTCTCACTCCAATTATTCTTCTGGGAGCGATTTACGGTAGTAGAACAAGGAAATACTACTGACCAAAAAAAGCAAATGCATAATAGCTGACCTGCGGATATCTAGCCGTCAAAAATAACACTTGTTTACCATTACGCTGCCTTTGGTTGGAGGAATTCCAAAGATATAGGGGGAGAAAATGAATAAAAATGCATCAAGATGCAAAATTGCACATTCAAACAGCTTACAGATCAACTGTAGGGTAGAGGCCCGGCATGTAACCACGTCCGTTTCCATTTGAATCTGAGCTACCACCAAACAAGTGTGGTTGTAGCTCCCCCGAGTGAGACGACACACGAGATTTTGAGATTTTAGGAGAAGCTGCATAAGAATCATTTGAACCACTTCTTGGGGAATACATTGATGATGTTGGCAATCCATGAATCTTTGGCAGGCCTGTTGGATCAGAACCCAAACTGTATCCCCTCTCAACTGTTTCAGCTTCCAATGGCAATTCATCCAATGTCTATAAAAAATATTAAAAAGAAAAAGTAAATGCAGGCTTTATGTCGAGAAACCAGAATTAAGCAACAGTAAGAGCACCAGCAACACGTAATCAAGTAATGTATTTCATTCTAGAGATTATAATATGTTGACATGTTGATACGCAGTGAAGAGAACCCACCCTGAATGCCTGTTGGAGAACTCGGAGTGTTTCTCGAGTACGTTTCCTCTTACAAACAATCTCATCAGGTTCCTGTAACATCTCTTCAAACAGGCTTTCTCTGTTCCGGATCATAAGATATACAGGATAATCATCAGTCAACAAGACTGTCAAAAGGATATATAATTAAAATCAAATCTAAAGAAACAAACAAAGCTCTATATCACCTGTAAAGCTTTCTGATAAAAACATTGTGAAGCTCACGTTTCGAATGGTTTACCTGGATATAGATATTATTGACAGAGATTAATAATCATGCAATACTTCAATGTAACATTGGACCACAACTATTGTTAGCAATACAGTCTTATACTCATGGCAAACAACATCATTTTAAGGATCCAATACAAGGAACATACGACACATATAAACCTATTGGACCCCGAGCAAACATTTTGATTAATTGCTAGGTCCATTCTTTAATTGGACAAGCAGACCACATTTATACAACCATGTTTTGTGACCAGTCTACCAATTAAAACACATTAGCCAATATAAACAGTAACACTGTTCAGTGTGCTTGATATGTACATCCCTCCACATTAAACTAGTGGAGGATAGAAATCAACATATTTAGCACCAAATATTATTTAGGTCGGCACACATAGTTGCTAGCCTGATATAGAGGTGAAAATGGAAATTAATTTGGCCAGAATATAATGATATACGATCTCCTAATTGCAGCACACAATGCTTTTGGAATTTTAGTTGTCAGGAATTTGAAAGTGAACCCAATAAACAGAAAAGACACAAGGATGTGTAATTAACAAATTTACTCGGTTTAAAACTTACCAAGAAGTGCATAATTGCTTTAGGTACAGAGTCCTCTACATTTTTCCTAACAATCTCATAGTATGATCTTAAGAGCAATTTGGTGATAGCAATTTCAATAGCTTCAGTTTCTGAACATTCTGAAGGCCTCAACAGAGTTGGGGGCTGAATAAAAACGAAAGCTTGTCACAATAAACACATTTTTTTAATCTAACAAAGATCCTTGATGAATTTGATTTGTACGCACCTCCCTCAAATGGATCATGGAGAAGGAATGTTCAATGTTTTGAGCGGGTTCTGTATATGGTTTGTTTGTCAAGACCCCTTTCACGGTTGAGCGGTTATCATTGCCACCAAATATTGATGAGATACCCCAAGTTGACCCACTTGTGCTTCCTGATAAAACCCACACATAGAACATCATTCACATAATACACCCCCAAACCCATATTTTAGGACAGAATTCTTAATACTTGACCATCACATCATACAAGTACCACAGAAAGAATATCAAACTTTAGCACAATAAATTCAACTAAATTCATAATGACACCCTACCAGTTGATGGTACTTTCTCAACATCTGCAGCAGGACGGACTACCTGCACGCAATGAATAGATTGACTTATGATGAGGGAGAAAAAAGGATTGGAAAAGCAAAGAAGGAAGATCATAGATTGAGCAGCAGAAACCAAATTTTCGTGCCTGCTCAGCAGCAATTCCATTAACTTGTCTTGCAATAATAGCCCGAGATTTAATATTTCTTTCAGAAGTAGGTGCCTTATCAGGCTCCAAACCATCCTGATTAAGGTAATAAAGAAACATGGAAAGAATGAAAAACAAGAGGAATCAGAAATAAATAAAAGCATTGATACCAGAGAAATGACTCCTAGCGGAGGCCTACCTTAGCTTTAGATACAGGCATAAGAACCCTAGAATTCTTTATCTGTTGATTGGCAAGCTCTACAGCCTTGCTCCCACCAATAAAATTTGGGTGGGAAGTATTTATGTAATCCATCTGCAAAATTGAAGGGGGTGTGTCAAAAGTGAGTGAAGTGCTCAGAAAAGCTCATATGAGTATAAAAAGTATTGCACATCAACATTACCAAGTTCATGACTTACAACACAATTAGGACAAGAAACATAAAATAATAACAATAATAAACGAAAATTAACAGAACTATGCCTCCATTTCAATAATATGTCCTATCATTGTCTCAGATGGTTCAAGGCCATCTTGGAGAAAATTCCCAATAACTTGGTCCATATGCTTTCTTAGAACAGGAAACCGCTGCAGTTCATTCATCATACAGCGATGACTAATCTGGATACAAAATGATTCCATTAGAAAACTTAGATTGGCAAGTGATAGAGCCGTGAGACTATAACGATAATCTTGAATACAAAACACCTTTATTAACTCGTCATATATGAACCTGGCACATTGAAGACTTGGATCTAGCAAACGTGCTATTTGCCTTCTTACAAGCACTTCAAATGGGACCTACATATCACACTTGTATTACATCAATATGCACCAAGTTTAACATAAAAGAATTCCAGGAAAGTTTGGGGGAAAAAGAATTTTCTTAGATAAAAATGATTTAAAATATGAGCCAGTAGAATGTACTTCAGGTACAAATAGTGCAGATCGAGGACCAGTTGCATTCTGAATGGCAGTTCGTATGTCATCATCAGTCAAACCTTCACATGGATCTACCTCCTGTACACAAATCAGTTAACAGAAAAACTCAAAACCAGCATCAAGTGAAGCAATTACATAAAGGCTCTCATTCAGAGGCACTTCTGAGGCTCTGAGCAATTTCTAAAGTAGCAGTGTAATAACTAAAGTCTGTTTTACATGATGCAGTTGCCCAGAAAAAGAAATTAATATCATCAAACCAAAAAACTCCTTTTATCAATAAGGTTTTGTCATATTTATTTGGAACATCCTGTCCTTGCAGACAACTAGTGCACAATCACATGGGGGAGTGAAATGCACTCAACACTAGAATCAATAGAATATTAATGATAAATGATAGATATGTATAATATACGCACTTCTAAGATGGAACGGAAAAGAAATCCGGCAAGCAAAAATCCTAAGTGAACGCAGATTCTAATATCAAAGGCACAGATATCAGGCTACACACCTCTAAGCTCTTAACAAAGATTGATTGGAAAATATAGTGAATCCTTGCTCCACCAGACAGCTCAGATGTAGACATCTGTTCATTTTTCCCCTCAACCATTGATGAGAACGCTGTTTCCAACATGGCACAGATTCACGGGTATCATACCAACATAGTATAATGTAATAACAGGTGGTTCAAAATATTAATAAGAAATTTACAGAAAGCAAAACAAAACATTTACCCTCACAGTACTTTGACAGAATATTCAGCAGAAGAGCTCCCTGGCCAGCCTATAGGTTACGAAACCATACTCTAGTCATGAGAAAATTATTCTGGGTTCTTTTTGTACAACCAAATTCAGATATACGTGCCTTTGATTCAGTGATTTCTCCATAG